GTGCCAGCCTGTCGCCAGCCTGGCGTTAGGGTTCCCCTATAAAAGTGAACCCAAAGCTCCTCTCTTCGAAGCTTCTTCTTGTGATTTTGGCGACGACAATTTCTCTCTTCCTAGCGGCGTTTTCCTCTGCTTCTTTTTCCAGAGCTCAAAGATTTGAGTGAAAAGGGGAGATTTTGAGGGGAAAATTTAAAGAAGAGGGAATTTATTGAAAGGGGTTTAAAAAAAGGAGTTATTACTGTAGCTACAGTAATAAACTTGTATTTTGAGAGATCTCAAGTTTGAGATCTGCTCTTGTATTGTAATTTCTTGTTGATTAATAAGAAATTAATTGTGTGGCTCCCGAGGACGTAGACAAGTTTGCCGAACCTCGTAAATCTTGGTGTACTTTTCTCTATACTGTGTTTCTTACTGTTTTAAGGGTTTAGTATAGCCCCGGTATTCCCAAACAACTGGTATCAGAGCCTGAAACGATCTAGATGAAGTCAGATTCAAGTGGGAGTCATGGCCGCAGATGAAAATGTGAGATTAGAGAAGTTTGATGGATCAGATTTCGGATTTTGAAAAATACAGATAGAGGATTATCTGTATGAGAAAAATCTGTATCAACCTCTTTCAGGGAAGAAACCGGTGGGTATGAAGGAAGAAGATTAGAATCTTCTAGACAGAAAGGCCCTCAGGGTTATTCATTTGACGTTAACCCGTAATGTTGCTTTTAACATTACAAAGAAAAAGATCACGGCGGGTCTTATGACAGCACTCAAATATGTATGTGAAGCCATCAACCTCAAATAAAATTTATTTGATAAGACGGTTATTCAATCTGCAAATGACGGAAGGTGCATCGATAGCACATCATCTCAATGAACTCAATACAGTCACGACCCAATTGAGTTCAGTTGATATTGAGTTTGATGAAGAAGTACGAGCGTTGATCATTTTGTCTTCCCTACCAGAAAGCTGAAATGCTATAATCACAGTTGTGAGTAGCTCGTCGGGAAGTAACAAGTTGAAGTTCGACGACGTTCGTGATCTGGTTCTCAGTGAGGAGATCCGACGGAGAGAGTCGGGTGAAGCTATAATCTTTTCAGTATTACATACAGAGTCAAGAGTTAGAAATTCAACCAGAGGAAATGGATCAGAGGACAGGAGGTCTAAATCCAGGAATCCCAATAGCTCAAAGGTTATCGAGTGTTAAAAGTGTGGGAAAACCGAGCACTACAAGAATCAGTGCAAGAGTGCACAGAAGGAGTGGGAGGCAAAGGCAGATGCAAATGTTACTTTCACCTCAGGAGGAGATGATGCATTGATATGCACTTTAGAGAGCAATGAGTAGTCTTGGGTGTTGGACTCTGGAGCATCATTCCATGCTACTTCTCAGAAAGAATTCTTCGAGAAGTATGTTCTCGAAAATCTTGGATATGTATATCTTGGTGATGATCAACCGTGTGCTATTTTGGACAAATGTGTAGTAAAAATTAAGTTGAACGGGTCAGTATGGGAGCTGAAGGATGTCAGGCATATTCCCGACCTGAGAAAGAACTTAATATTCGTAGGTCAGTTGGCTGGCGAAGGATATACTACAACCTTTCATGAAGATGATTGGAATATCTAAAAGGGGAGAATGACGATTGCCCGAGACAAGAAGGCTAGTACCTTATAGATGACAGTAGGTGCATGTTGTTTGATCTCAGCTGCAGCAGGTAATGAGACTTCAAAGCTGTAGCACAAGAGACTCGGTCATATGAGTGAGAAGGGGATGAAGATCATACACACAAAGGAAAAACTCTCAGGATTGCGGTCAGTAGAGATGGACATGCGTGAAGAATGCGTACTTGGAAAGCAGAAGAGAGCCAGTTTTCAAACAAGTGACAGAACCCCAGGAAAGAGAACCTAGAGCTCGTTCACTCAGATATTTGGGGACCAACCACCACCGCGTCCATTGGTGGGAAACATTATTTCGTGACTTTTATCGATGATCACTCTCGAAAAGTATGGGTCTACTTTCTGAAGCACAAGTCAGAAGTATTTGAGGTTTTCAGGAGATGGAAAAGCATGGTCGAGAATGAGACCGGTCTGAGAATAAAGAAACTCAGAACAGACAATGGTGGTGAGTATGAAGACATCAGATTCAAAAAGTTTTGCTATGAGCACAAGATCAGAATGGAAAGAACCGTGCTCGACATGCCTCAGCACAATGGTGTAGCTGAACGCATGAACATAACGTTGACAGAGAGAGCTAGAAGCATTCGCATACAGTCAGGCCTACCGAAGCAGTTCTGGACAGAAGCAGTCAACACATCAGCAAACTTGATCAACCGAGATCCATCAGTTTCATTGGAGCACAGAATACCAGAAGAGGTATGATGCAAAAAGGAGGTAAGCCTCTCACATCTTAAAGTTTTCGGTTGTGTAGCTTATGTGCATATTAGTGATCAAGGCAGGAATAAGCTTAATCCCAAGTCAAAGAAATGCACTTTCATCGGCTATGGTGAAGATGAGTTCGGCTACCGTATTTGGGACAATGAAAACAAGAAGGTGATCAGGAGTAGAGATGTGATATTCAACGAGAAGGTGATGTACAAGGACATGCATAAGACAAATGACTCAGAGAACGAGTCAATATTTGTAGATGTAGATGATGTTCCGAATAACCTCTCGGAAGAACCTAATGCAGAAAGTCCTCAGCCAGAAAAGCCTGTTGGACAGAACGATGCGCAGGAGCCCGACGCACCAGCTCCGATATTGAGAAGATCTTCTCGTCCTCCTGTGCCTAATAGCAGATACATGAATTGTATATTGCTAATAGATGGAGGGGAGCGTGAAAGCTTTGATGAAACTTGTCAGAGTGGAGATGCGAGCAAGTTGGAGCTTGCTGTGAAAGAAGAGATAAAATCTCTGATCTCCAACCAGATATGGGAACTAACTGAGTTGCCCATGTGGAAGAAGGCACATCACAACAAGTGGGTGTATCGAGTAAAAAAGGAACAGGATGATTTCAGAAGATACAAAACTTGATAAGTTGTCAAAGGATTTCAACAGAAGATCTAAGAAAGTAAGAATCAAGAAAATATGTTGACAAATGCAGTGACCTTTCAGAAACTGGAGTTGTGCGTAACTTCAGTTGATCTTCATGCATATGTGATGAATGCGGAGCCACACAAGAGAATGTGCTTGTTGCGATAGCCTACTGACGGCGGTTGGATCTCCCACTATCTCCAAGTGGGAGATTGTTAGTTTGGGTGTAGATCCAAACATTAGTACAGGCGAGGTCTTGACTAAGATCTTTAGGCGAGCTCGAGCGTTGAGTAGGCGAGCTCGACGAGGTTAGACGAGCTCGAGCGGGTGAGGAGCTCTGTCAGGCGAGCTCGAGGTCCAAGACGAGATGCAGGCGAGGTTTGGGCTTTGCGGGCGAGGTCGACGTAAAGCAGGCGAGGGCGAGATCTTGCTACAGGCGAGGTCGAGATCCGCTCGTGCTTCATGCGAAGTTGGGAGCGCAGGTGCTGGTGACAGCCTGTCGCCAGCCTGGCGTTAGGGTTCCCCGTATAGGGGAACCCAAAGCTCCTCTCTCCGAAGCTTCTTCTTGTGATTTTGGCGGCGGCGATTTCTTTCTTCCTAGCGGTGTTTTCCTTTGCTTCTTTTTCCAGCGTTCAAAGATTTGAGTGAAAAGGGGAGATTTTGAGGGGAGAATTTAAAGAAGAGGGAATTTATTGAAAGAGGATTTAAAAAGAGGAGTTGTTACTGTAGTTACAATAATAAACTTGTATTTTGAGAGATCTCAAGTTTGAGATCTGTTCTTGTATTGTAATTTCTTGTTGATTAATAAGAAATTAATTGTGTGGCTCCCGAGGATGTAGGCAAGTTTGTCGAAGCTCGTAAATCTTAATGTATTTTTCTCTATACTGCGTTTCTTGCTGTTTTAGGGGTTTAGTGTAGCCTCGGTATTCCCCAACAGATATGTTTATTTAGGCCCAGGCAGGACTCGTGTAACATATGAGCCTAGAATCCTATAGGCTATAACACGCCCTGGTTCGTTAGGTATCAAGTTATCAACTGGTCCATTGATGCCAAAATTTGACACTGTATAACGTTGGCCTATTCTTGTTTGTTTCAAGCTGTCCCTTGAAATATGTCCCCAAATTTGAATTGCTTGATGAAATTTTATTATCAGGTATATTTGCTGAAAGGAACACTACCTTACATTGTTCTTTGAAGTACACACACATACATGTTTGTACTTACAGCTTTACATACAAAGAAATACACATCTAGACGTTTTTTTTCCTTCCCTTTTTTCACATCACTGAAAAATAGAGTTAAAAGGACATCAGTGTTTAAAAAGAGTAGTATGTTTTTTATGTTAATGTACTATCATTTTGAAAGGCTCTCTAATTGACTACTTTTTTTTATCTAAAGTCTGCTTAAATTTAGATTATGAGTTTGATAAATTTTCTTTTAGCATACTGAAATTCTAATTTATATTTTAGTAAAAAAGTTGACATAAGAAAATTGATTGACTACCTAGGTTTCTTTTGATTTAGATTGTACATTTCAATAGGACTTAAAACTCTAGCTTAATTATATTATCTGATATTATTTGTTTGAAACAATATAATAGCTGTATTTGTAAGTATACTTTTCTTCAGTGATTGGCTTGATTGAGAGAAAAGATGAGCACTAAACACTTTTTATGACAATTAGATATTTTGATATGTATTGAATAGAGAATTGAACAGAGTGGATGTAGCAGTTCTCAATGTTTCAACATCGTGATTATATGTCATAAATCTAAAAGGAACTCCAAACATATTAAATGATTAAAAGATCATAATTCCTATTAAAAATAGAGGGTAAGGCTGAACTACTCACTTCTAAGAGTTGTCATAGTTGTGTATATGTATTCATGTTTTATGATGTTTGCCTGTGTTTTCGAGTATATAGAGCATAAAAAATGCTGAACGGTTCTTATGAAAAAGCTTGATAATCTGTTAGATTCTTGGTTATCAATGCTAATATCTTCGTAATAGTTCTGACCACTAGTGTCATACCCACGCGATACTGTGGTGTTTTTTTTCTAGTACATCATTCATCAAAATGTTAAAATAGATTATGAATGAATATTTGCTAAAGAATGGTGCATGCCACCAATTATTTTGTTGTGAATTTGTATCTCAATAAAAATTGTTTTTTTAGCCAGTACGCTAAAACTTTTAATATTATATAGGAAATTTGTTAACTTGAATACATTTATAAAATTTGAGAGTAACATTATCAACACATAGATTTGCTTTCATTGAATAAATTCCCCAACCAAAAATACCATGTTACAAAGTGGATAAATGGTATCATTTAGCTTGTTTATTTTAAAGAAATAAAAATATTTATTTCAGAACCAAAAAAAAAATTATTATGCACTCATATAAACTTTGAAGTCGTTATTCCCCTTTGCTTCCCCTATGCAATGCATGGGACTCATTAAAATAATATTATATCTATTATATTGCAATATTATATTTTTTTCAAATTATTTTTTTATTTTTCCTCTTAAGGTTTATATTATAAGTTATATATTATTGAATAATACTTACAAACCCATTATGATAACATTATAACATTTTTAGATCCTAGATTCTTAGATGCGATATGTATGATATTATTTCTATTAGGTAAGAGTATTTTGTTTTATATGGAAGAGGGAATGTCTTTATTAATATGAAATTAGCTATTTCCTAAAATTAAAGAATTTCTATATGTAGTAGTATATGGAAGAGATAATTTCTTTATTAATATGAAAATTAGCTATTTCCAAAAATTAAAAGAGCGAATGCAAAAGAAAGGGAGAAGAAAAATAGTTGTATAATGAGTAACTAGTGCCATTAAAACTGAAAACAGAGAAAATATAAAAAATAGGAACACATGGGGAAAAAACCCTTATAATAAAATTAAAGATAAGCATGTCATGGTTATAGACCAATTTCTGAAGTTTATAGCACCAAGAAAGAAAAAAATAAAAAATAAAATGGTTAATAGACAAAAGTCTGAAATCAAATTAATATTATCACATGACAACTTCTAATATTATCACATGTCAAATTAATATTATCACATGACAAAAGAGCACAAACCTGTAAGACATTTTCCCCATGATATACATGGTTAAACCTTCAACTTCCTTGAGCGGTAACACACCTTCATAGTAGCTTTTGCAAAATAAATCAATATGTCTCAAATAAAAACTATAACAATTTGATAAAAAAAGGTTTAAAGGATAGTATTACCAACTTTTTCATTACCACTGAAATTGAGTTACAGCTTCGACAAAAGAACCAGTATGATTTTGGGATAGATAATAGATTTTAAAATTGTAACATATAGTGTGTCATGAAATTAAACTTAATAAATAGATTAGATTAATGGAGATGCTAGGAGGTTACACTTTATGAGTGACCAGTTAAAAGGTCATGTAGTAATAAATGTTGATAGGGGAGTTTACTAGACTACTGTAATTATATTTATTAGTAATAATAAAAATTATATTTAAAAAAATAAAAGGCAAAATTCTAAGAAGTTTCCAAGTGGCAATCTAGGGCCTTAATTTAGTATATAGTATAGATGTGTAAATCTGAAGCAAAAATGACTAGAAATTATCATGGAAAAAAGTTCCAGACATCATTGTTAAGAGTGTGATCAACACAGATGATAAACATGAGGTCTTTTATGGATTTCTGATTTTGAAAGGACCTTATTCTTTTCTTGGATGGTCATCTCCTCCTAAAGCTGATTATGGTGGAATTCAGGTCAGAAGACATTCCCTTCTTGTAGGGTGTTGACAAGTTAATCAGATAACGACTTGATACTCAAGCAAGCATATTGGGCTTTGATGTTTGTTTAAACACTTGGAAGTTCACAATTTCTCAACCAAATTGTAGCTCGATATCAGCTAAAATAACAGTTTTTGTAATGGAATTCATATCTCACTGAGACCTACAAGTGTCATCTGTTCAAAGGTAGTGTGTTGTTGCAATAGTTTTAGTTTTATGCTTTTAAGCACTATAGCTGATGCGTCGATGGACTTTTGAATCTCCTTTTAGGTGTTCATTTCCAGCTCAATGCCTCCAGTGAACTATAGTTTCATCTCAACTTCCCTAACAGACTGTCAAACACTGCCATTCACATAAAAATTCTTGTTTTCTATTTTGTAATTTGTTAACTTGAGTTGATCTTACAGCTGTATAAATAGAAGTATTATCTATCTAGTTCACTACTCTGCATTAGTATTGTGGTTTTTGCTTATGCCCATTCAGTTCTGATTGACCAACTGGAGTCATTGTAGAGGACTTGAATTACTAAATCACCACTAGGTGAGGATTAGTATCTTATGCCAGCGTGTCTCATGGTTCATGCGTGTGGTTTACTTATATGTTGTTTGTGATAAAGTATTGCAGTCTTTCTATATCGATAAGTACCAATGATTCATATACCTTCAATCGAATTTATATGTTCATATATACTTTCAAAATTTTCACATCTATACTTGAAACTTAGTTCGATTTAAGCCTGTATATATTTTATTACTTTGTGGATTTCATTCAAGTGAAACCTATATGTGGCACAGAGGTCAAGCTTATATCATATATTTTATTACTTTGTGGATTTCATTCAAGTGAAACCTATATGTGGCACAGAGGTCAAGCTTATATCTCTATGAAGTAACCTAACCCAAAATGGTACAAGTGAAACCTATATGTGGCACAGAGGTCAAGCTTATATCTCTATGAAGTAACCTAACCCAAAATGGTACGTGTACAATTCACTTACCATTGGATGGTTTTTGCTTGTGACTACTTAGAAATTGAGCTCCGTGTCAGAGATCCTGGCAAGCAATATGAAATTATCTGTTAGTTGTGTACCTTTAATGTTAAGTGGCCTCCTATTTCAAAGACTCAAAGCAAACTCCAAGATTCGGCACATAGAAGGATGTCCTGTACAAATGTAAGAAGAATTCATACCCTATATTATTACCATGTGTCCAGAAAAGAAATGACAATGACAATTAGTGTTGTCCATTCATGGTATTTCTAAACTTGCAAATATAGGTCAGAGCCCTACAGACTATAACTACGCGCAAAGTGTACCTTAACTAGAACTTACAAAAGTAAACAATTTTATTATTCAGGTTAATGAAGCTGTTTACATAGACATATTCCGGCCTGCAAGAAAGTCCCAGAAGATTCTACTATGTGGATGGCGACGGGATATAGATGATATGATTGTGGTAAGCTGTCTTTTGAAGCCCCTAATACTCTTGTATCAATTCTGCAGGTCTGTGGAGGATATCTACCTAAAGATTTTATTGTTCCCAAGTCCCATGAAAGAATACTCCTCTGTGGTTGGCGCCGAGATATGGAAAATATTATCATGGTAACCTGATGAAGACTTAAGTGCATCATACTTTATATTACTGCTTTGGCCACAGATGCTTCGGAGACTGCCTGGGAACTTAGTCACTCCACACCAAGGAAAACTTACAGTTGCAATGGCAGACAAGAAGCATTTTTTTAAACCGTAGCAGCAAATCATTCTTAATAGGGATTGTTAGTCATGGAGTTGGAAGAACAATTGTTCTCCATGCCGTTATATTTAAATATTGATTATAATCTCAATTCAATCATTGCATCACTCTTGCTATGAATCCACTGGTCTCCTTGAATGGATGTTCATAAAGTACTATGTTAATTGTCATTATTAACTTCCAAGGAAACTTTTTTTTAAAGGTTGCATGGATTTCAGATATCTAGTCTGTTCAATTTTCTTGGTTCTTATTTAGTTAATTTAATTAACTTTAATGTTTATCTGCTAAATCGACAAATATTCTGAAATATAAGATTCCATTAGCAATTTTATCTCAAATTTCAGCTCTATGGATTGATATATTTATGTGACTAACAACATCAAAATTTAGTCCAAAAAATATTTTTTTAATCAATTAAACATTGTTCAAGTAGTGATCCCCGCAGCCATATGGAACGGGGTCTTCCACTTGTGTTAATTTTCTTTTAATTTCTTTCAATACCTATTTGATTCAAAACTAGGTCGCATATGCATGGCTGACTTATATCATATTGATCGTGCAAATTGACTAATATGGAATATCTTTAGAGAAAGTATTGTTCACTTTTATAATTTACAACTGGTATTCACTACAGTTCTCTACTTATTTGCATAACCTTGTGTTATGTTTCACATTTCCAGATTCAAATCGTTAGGTATGTTTCATCTAAAGCGTATACAATATGGCAGTCAATGAGTTGTTTGCTTGAAAAAATTAGTAACTTCTTGTTTTGAAATTCTTCTTTGAGTAGAATCTTCCAGCCATTATTTTCTACCTAGATGATTTTATTACTCTAAAGAAATACCTTGTTGGTGAATTTTTTCTTGCAAAATTGAAATCACCAAACATCAAAGTCACTCTAACCAACAAGACACATACACAAGCACAAATTTATGAAGTGAAAGTTGAGTAGGTCATGCCATTTGCTATCTTGAGGGGCAAATGGCTGGACTGAATTCATATATGCTATTAGCTTTTGCTTACTTTTTTGTGTATTGCTATATTTGTAATCATTTAATTTCTGAAGATGTAGAGAAACAATTCCTACAAATGCATAAGCTGTGTAAAGTGCAGTTTTGGGTCTTGATTTGAAGGTAAATTATGAAAATACCTCTTTTTTTAGGTGCTAGATGCCTTTTTGGCACCTGATTCAGAACTATGGATGTTCAACGATGTGCCTGAGAATGAGAGGGAAAGAAAGCTAGTTGATGGTGGTCTTGACTTCAGCAGATTAGAAAACATAACTCTTGTCAATCGTGAAGGAAATGCTGTCATCCGTCGGCACCTAGAGAGTTTACCTCTAGAATCATTTGATTCTGTAAGTTAACTGGAGGAATAGTTCTTTTATTTGGTAATCTAACTGATTATGAGTTTGCAACGCAATAGCAATAGATGCTACTATTGGGCATATTATCTAGACTTGCACATGAATTGGGAGGGGTGCATGGTTTGATCCTTGTATATTTCTTTTAAATTATGCGCAGATCTTGATTTTGGCTGATGAATCTGTTGAAGATTCTGCAATTCAAGCTGATTCAAGGTCCCTTGCAACACTGCTGCTAATCAGGGACATTCAGGCATGTTTCAGAAACAATTTTCTTGTCATATCTCTTACTGCTTTGTTTTATCATTAAATATCCATATGAACTGACGCTAAGATACTGGATTTGACTTTTCTGTTGCTGTTGCATGGACCGTTTATGTTCTTTGTATTTCTTTGTACCTTTGCTTATAACCTGACATTTTTTTCTGAGACCTGAGACCATGTGTAATAGCATAAAATTTTCGAGGTGAATTTCTTAGACTTTCTTACAGCTAAACTTTAGGCCATGTGTAATAGTATAAGCTTTTCGAAGTGAATTTTTTAGACCTTCTTACAGCTGAACTATGGAAAAATGTTGATAATCTTTTAACATTGGATTGCACCACTTCTTTTATTTGGATGTTTCACTTAGACACGTTTCTCTTTCATTGATGGAAATGACTAATGGTCTTACACTCTACTCTACATACCGGTAGCTTACCCTTGCCCTATAACTGGTAATGTAGATATGGTTACCCTGTCTTTACAGGTAAAGAGTCAAACTCTGTTTATCCTATTGGATCGGTATTAATATGTGCTTCCGACAGGCAATTGGACCTTAAGTGCACCAGTTCAATATGCATAAATTGTAATGTACTTATATTAATTTTCAGGTGTAGTATAAACTCATTTACTTACCCCAGCAGTTCTTTTAACAGGTCAAAAATCTATTCATCCTTACCCTTGCTTTTCGAACAGGCTGGTATCAAAATATGCCTTAGCCTAAAAGCTAGGGTAACCGAGTTAAACCTTACCTAAAAAGTTATAAGATAAACAAGTCTACTGTTATCCATTGCCAACCTCAGACTTTCTCTGAAGCGCATTTGCATATTATTTAGTTTTAGTGCGCAAATATGCCATATTAATGGCCCATGAAACTATTTCGTTTTTCCTTATTAGTAAACTAGTCAATAAAGGAGAAATTTTTTAAATGGACCATATCTGAAACTTAATTAGCAAAATCAATCGTATTTCAGCCACATCAGTAAGTCTAGCTGAAAATTGATCGATTTTGCAAAATGCAGATTTTAAAAAATACGGGACTAGTAGTCCTGTGTGATTAGTGTGGCTAGTTATTTTTTTAAAATACGGGACTAGTAGTCTTTCTATTGCTACCCCTTTCCCCCTTTCTTTCCATTCCCAACCTAACTATCCAACACCGTCTCAGATATCCTCCCTTCTCGTCTTTTATCCATCCTCAATCGCCTGAGTACACGCTTAAAATGCCAGACTTCCATACTCCGTCATCTTCGTTCGAGTACACTCCTTCATCGCCCGAGTATAGTTCCTCGACTCTGAATTCTGTACTCCATCTATGTTTGAGTACACTCCTTCATCGCCTGAGTACACTCCCTTGACGTGGGGTTTCTATATTCACTGTCTTTGTTCGGGTACGCTCTTGCATTGCCGAGTACATTCCTTCATTGCCTGACTATACTCTGTCATCTTTGTTCGAGTACACTTCTTCATCGCCTGAGTATAGTCCATCATCTTTGTTCAAGTACACTGCTGCATCGCTCAAGGACATGCCCTCGACACCAGAATTCTTTACCCCATCATCTTAAATTGAGCATATTCCTTCTGACGCCTGAGTACAAGGCCACGATGCCAGACTTCTATACTCCATCTGCACATCAATAACTTTCAATCGCGAACGATAGATACCAATTGTTGTCCACTTGTCAAGCAATCATCGATCAGAACCCACACACTTATGAGTTGGCTTCAAGAGTTAAGTTCCTTTGTGTGCTTGCCCAACTGCGGATTAGATAACGAAGGGGATGGGGGCGGCGGTGGAGTTATGGATGGGTGGAGGAGGAGGAGGAGGCGTAGGGGATGGCAGGCAAAGGAGGAGGAGGCGGAGGGGAAGGCGAGTCGAGGAGGAGGAGAAGAGGGCAATGGTGGTGGGCGATTAAGGAGAGGGAGGGGAGGGAGGCGACAATGGGCTGAGGAGAGAGTAATGAGGATGTATTATGTTCCTCCAAACTTTGTCTAGAAAGAGGACTAAAAAATTGCGATTAAGTTGTATTTAGTCAACACTAATTAAACGCAATGGTCCCGTATTTTTAAAACTTCATTTTGCCAGTTCGACCAATTTTCAGCTAGACGTGCTGATGTGGCTAAAATCTGGTCGATTTTTCTAATTAAAATTTTTTGTAATTGATTTTGCTAACTAAATTCGAGAAATGATCCATTTTAAAAATTTCTCCATTAATATCCAGTTTAGGTTCAGTAATTTCCGCAAGAAATTAGTGCCCTGGAAATATTCAAGGTACTTAATATTATGATAGAAATTTGAATATATTACAATTTTAATATTTTTTTTAGAAAAAAGCAGTTAAAGCCGTCAGATGTAACCCTTATACATGTCTACTTTTCTCACAAATGGCTTCTCGATTTTCCCGTGTTGTAGTACAAGTCATGTTTGTAGTTGTCCCAGTCTTTTACTCTATGATATATAAACATGGACATGGGGGAAGCATTGCAGGCTAAGCGTCTTCCTTATAAAGAAGCTTTGATCTCACATGTTGACCGAGGAAGCTTCTCACAAGGTTCTTGGATTGGAGAAATGCAACAAGCATCTGATAGATCCGTCATAATTAGCGAAATTCTGGATCCTAGGACGAAAAATTTATTATCTGTGTCCAAGATCAGTGATTATGTACTATCAAATGAACTAGTAAGCATGGCATTAGCAATGGTTGCAGAGGATCGGCAAATAAATGATGTTTTGGAAGAGCTCTTTGCAGAAGAGGTATGGAGATATTCTTTGATAAATTCAATTGATTTGATTTGTTGTTGCTTTTGTCTGTAGCAGATAACTTGTAAATAGTTTTGTAATAGCATTCTTTTTCCTAAAAGTAATAATGATTTATAAAATGAATGAAGTTGTTGCTGCTTCTGATTTGTAGCTATGTTTATGTGTGAAGTAGATTAGTTCTCGATAGTTTGGGGATCATATGATCTTTGTGAATCACATTTCTGTTTGAGTTACGTTGGCAAACTTACAGAAATTGGAAGATTTAACTTTGTCGTAAATAATAATCTAATCAAACCTTGGATTACTTAAGATCCAACACCTTCATCATCTACAGCCATTTCCCTAGCCGAACGAGGTGGTCTTTGAATCAGAACTCTATTTCTAGGTTTAACATCTCAGTATGAGTGTGGTCCAGATCCCATCTACACTTTTCTTAACTCTATTATTAGTTTTTTTTGGGGACCTCTTTTCTACAAAAAACATTGTAGCACAGCTGTAAATCTAGCTTTTCAAACGTCTGCTTCAGAATCCTAATATTCATGCATAGATCAAAATCTGATGTTGGTCAGCATCATTTAATCTCAATTTCATTTTTGGTAATGCAACAGGGCTAATTGTTACAAGCCACTCCAACTATTTATTTGTTTTTTTCAGAATTTTTCAGACTTAAACCACATCCGGGCTCAAGTTGATATGCACTTCCCTATCTGGTAGGTTTCAAGGCATTTGCTATGCCATTGTATGGATGGCCCCAAAAGTACAATGTTAAGTCAGTTTTGAGGCTTCCAGCCTTAAAATTTTATTCATTTATGACTGAGCATTAGTTACTTATACATCTGGGAATCTCTAATATTCCATATACCCACTAAGAATGTCTTCGTAATGTCATATGTTAGGATCAGTGTATAAAATCTTCCATAATGTTTTCAAGTAATTTGTAAGCTACTTCCTTCCGTATTATCTCAATTAATATCTTGTGATATCAGTTTTAAATTAAGCTAGCATGCAAACAACTCACCTGAAACATTCTACTATTTGAGCAGGGAAATGAGTTGCAGATAAGGCCAGCTGATCTTTACCTACGAGAAGAGGAAGAAATGAATTTCTATGAAATAATCCTACGTGCTAGACAAAGAAAAGAGATTGTTATTGGGTACCGCTTTGAGAATGAAGAACATGCCGTTATTAACCCACCAAACAAGGAGGTTCGAAGAAAGTGGTCAGCTAAGGATGTCTTTGTTGTCATTGCCGAGAAGGATTGAGCTCAATATTGTTAGCTTTCCTGTTGTATTTTGTTCTGATTGCAGATGCAATGGCATAATTCAATGGAGTAAACTTTGATCCAAGCTAAAGGAAATGAAGGCTTAAAGGATCTCGTAATATGCTTTGATTGCCTGTTGTTTGCCCATTTGACCAAAATTCTGTAAATATGACCCATGTAATATATCTTCATGTCCCCAATTTTGTTGAGAGGATCGGAGGAAACAGTGTTGTATTAGAATAATATGCCAAAAATAGTTAGGATAAATATGTATATTACACAATGTTAAATTCTTGAAGAGAAAGCATTGTAGTAGCCCTTCCTCTTCCTTTTGATCTGTTGCTTCCTAGCTGCATTTATTTCTTAAAATGTTGTATAGTTGATGAGTGCCATAAGTTTGTTAGATGTGGATCCTCTCCAATTAGGTGGTAATTAAATGGTAATTAGAGAATGCCCAATTACTCCGATGTTTACCATCTTATTCCAATTCCAACGGCTTACAAGAAGTCATGTAGGATTTTCACTATGACAATGATTTTCAGAATAGTGGTTTTAAAGATGACAATGGTTTTCAAGATAATATTTGGAGTCCTGTGTGGCTTCAGCTCAGCTCTTAAAATTAGTAGCTCTTAAAAGTAGTATAAAGGGTAAGGATTTGGGTAAATGAACGTACTTTAATTACCACCTAATTAGAGAGGATTCCTATCCGCGAGCACGTGCAAGGTATAGTTTTGTGTAAGTAGTGTAAGCCTATTTTTGCATCCGTTTTCGGTGCTCATTTTAAGTTCTCAATCACATCTAACACTATCAATCTTTTCAGGCTTCCCGTAACATGTTACACATGGAAAAGAATTCACTTTTCCTAAATACAGGGTTAAAAATGTACAAGGTAGTGCGCTTAAAGATCATAATCCCACAGAGTGAATGAACGGATACAATTCCAACAACGGAAAATATAGCAATAATTTTTTTAAATTTGGACAAACCAATCTACGGTTCTTAACGATCTATTTCAAGAACTGGGCTTGCTGATAATTATCCATCATATCGTTGAACTTGAACCTTTATCAATCACGCCCGTGAAGATCTTAAGCAATCTTCTGATAGTAAGCTATATTTGAAAGATAAAAATGCAAACAAAAAGTACTCACCTAAAATTTGCACAATAGAGAAACATTGAAACGCCCAATGACAATATAATTTACAAGTACATTTCTGTGTTCTGTCACTCTTGTTCATGGAACTTATGTACCAACCCAGTTGCAGCATTTACATCAGAGGAAAGGATCCAATGAGATTTCTTTCATGCTAGGCTATAGACATCGGGTTTTTACGCCTCTGAGAGGTCTAAATTCTCATTATCTGGACTGGAAGTTTCAGTAGGCAATCCTTGGGAGTCATTGGCATCAGCAGGTTGTGATTCGTGCTTTGCTGCTGCCTTTAGCACTCGATCTTGAACTGATGTTGAAGATGGTGATGTTGGCAGCCCAATCTTGTTCGGTTCTAATTTTCCAGCAGCCCATGATACTGCTTGAACTCCGACTGTCACTGGAGTTAGCAACAACCTGAAAAAAAAAAACAAAAGAAGGTCAAAAAGAGGAGGTCATTTTGTTACGTTACAAGTGAAGCTCACACTTCGTATTTTGTAGATCAATAAAAACCTACAAATTACACAGGAATACCCCAGATTTTCAGTTCTCTGTATTCACGAATACTGCTACCATGTAGGAACTTTATTTTTTCCACTGAGATATTGATGATACTTTACTTGTTTACTCCTGTCAACATGCATGTCCATGGTTCTTGCCAACTATAATACATACAGGAGGATTGCATCTGAAAACTCTTGTGTTCTTTTTAAATTGTCAAAGTTGAATGAAGTTGAGAAAAGTGGCATACCTCACATCATGCTTGAATTCCTCCGAGTCCTCATATGATGCAAACCGTCGATAAAGAGTCTACAAAACAAAATGAACAAAAACAATAATGCAGATTAAGAAGAATGCTCTGTTGTGATTCTAATGGACATGATTATGTGAAGAAGAATACTTTAATCACAACATAGGATTTATGAAGTATATAGTGTTGCACATGGAAGAAGTTCTAACTAAAGAAAAACCGAGTTCCTTTCTTCATATTGTACTGAAAGCAGATATCTTGAGGTGCCTTAAAAGCTCGTTTATAGCGTTGATAGAAGACAAATAGTTCGGTAGTGGAAATGCATGATCTTGTTTTCTTTCTTAACAAGGATAATGCCTGGGTTTTGCACGAGAAAAGCCAATTACCTCAATGTAAACTTGTTTATTGTGTCTTCATACTTAAACCAGTTAACAAATATATTGATAGGAGAGAAACCAGGCCTCAATCAATGATGACGATGATGTCAACAACAATGAATAATGATAATGGTAATAAAATTTCAGAAAGTGATCCCTTTTGTCGTTCTTGTCCTTTTTCTCTTCTATTGAGCATTCTCTTTCTTTCTTTATTTGTAATGAATTTGTAATTAAAGTGGGCACAATTGTTTTATTATCTTTATTTTTTTAAAGAAATATCTTTTAGCGTTATACATTAGCAGGTTTGGATATCAACTGACCACCATGTAGCTAAATGCAAATGAATTAAATACTTAATCAGCAACTTCCGCATAATTCTCAATGCACATATACCTTACCTATTATTAAAAAAACAGTCTTTATGACACACTTTTCTGACAACACGAGTGAGGAAAGCTTTTTGTAAAACAAAACAATATATTTTGTGTTTTCCTAATGACATGAAACAGATTCAAGGTTGGAGAAAAAAATTTAACATACAAATCAAACACATCAGAAACACTCACAACTATGAAATAAAATAAAATAAACAAAAAGGGATAATAGAAACATTAGCATATACAAACTGTAAGTCTGACCCGAGGGCTTTAGACAAGAAAAGTAGAGCTTATGTTTTTAAGAATAATTGCAACAAGCACTCAAGTAGAAGGAGAATAACTATGTGATTGGAAGATAGATTTTCTAAACTAATAAAACTCCTACCATGGATTTATGCAGGTTGTTCTACAGAAAGAGATAACCGTTATAACTTGAGGATCAAATACCTGTGCTAGACCGATAAGACCAATTACTTGCAAAGTTTTCTCCCATTCTGCAGTCAAATAGAAGTTTAGTTATAATCCACGACAAAAGGGTTTCAGTTTCTTTCAATATCTTTGGAGTATAAAAGTTGTTGTAGACATAAAATTGGTTGCGATAATTTGACGAAAATGCACAAGTGATCCGACATTAAAGTTTGTCAAGTTAACTCTATCTTTTCTTGATTCTGAAGCTGCATAGTCTTATAGGTTGGAAAAGCACAGCTCTTCCACCATGTCTGATGGGTGCCACTCTGAGTTGTATACTGCAAATATTCACAATGCTAAACTTGGCTATGGGGTTTGTCTCTTAAACAAAGTGAAGAGATAAACTAGATTGTCCACTACAATTTCTTTTTAACCTATGCAAATTTCTTGTTAATTTAACAAACAGAAGATAAACTAGATTGTCTACTATAATTTCAGCTTAAATTTATCAAACTCACCCAGAACTGCAAAGCCAGCTATAACAATTCCCTGCCATAAGCACAAAAAATCAGCAATGGCGATGATAATGAACCATTGGATTTTTTTTGAAAATTAACACAAGGAAAAAAACATTTGGCCACAAATTAATTATTTTATACTCGCATAAATTTCAGCGAAAACATATTGATAGCAGACCACAAGCAACCCGACTTTCATTTGCAAAAGGTGACAGGACATCTTTAAGTTTAATTGTCTTACCAGCCCATAACCAATGATAAGTGTTGGAGTAGGCTTAATATCTTCAAGGATTGCCTCCACTTCCTGCATATAATTCAAGTATGTGTGATATAAATAAATTTAAAATTCACAGTAGTCATCAGTTCAAATAGCTTAAAGTAGCCTTTATTCTAAATTCAAAAGAATATCTAGTTAGAATCCATCAGTTCATAGATATAACACATCGATGATTCCAAATGGAAACCCAAAAAATATATATAGACTGACTATGCTGGATCTGACAGCATAAACGATTAAGCATGTCGATAGTGATTTTCAGTTGGCGTGGATCTTGCAATCAGACAAATGGATTTTCAGTTATTGCATTATATACAAAAGAATAAATCGCTTCGAAATGAAGATGTTTTATCATCTCAAGCTTAACCCTGAATATAAGCATAGATACCTCATTCAATACAGACAAAGCAGTCTCAGATTTGAGCTCTTTAACTCGTAGGCCCTTTCCTACCCACGACTTGAATCCACCTTGGACCAAGTAAGAATTCTATCAGAAAGAAATGCAGCATTAGGCATTATAAACACAAAATGCAAGCAAAATTACAGGTGCTGGCTCACAATTTTTCACCTTAACACCAAGTTTCTTTAAGGATCTCGCAATAGCTTTAGACCGACCACCACTAGCATCCATGACAATAACCTTTGATCCATTCTGCATAAAAATCAAGAATACCAGTCATCTGTCCATGTTACAGAGGACTTGTTAATAAGCCTATCCAAACCATTCATGTAACTTACTTTAACGAGTTTTAGGTTCCGGATAACAACTGCAATTAACGCATCATCAATGTCCTTCCCACCTTTTAGCAGCTTTCTCAATGAACCATCAAGCTGGTAAGCCAATAAAAGTACGACCAAGTTATGTTTGATTGATCATGTGACATAGGGCGACATGAAATAAAATCAACTACCACCAGTCAAACTAATACAATGGTGCAAGTAGCTTTAAGTAATCAAATTGTAAAACTAGAATACGAAATAAAGACCAAATAGAGGACTGTTGTTCCACAGTATGGACTTAGAAGAAGCTCAGCTGATCACTCAGTTTTTGTGAGTAGGACCTCAACCGGCATCCTTCTTGCAGTCTATGCTGATGATACAGCAGTTGCTGAAGATTATTCTTGGGAAATTTGAAATCTGGAAATTTACATGAACTCTCTCTTTTTGGTACGACTTGGTCTATTACATTATTTTCTTAAGACAGAAGTAGCTCATCTAGTAAAATTTTGCTGTCTCTCAAAGAAACATATCATTACTTCATTAGTTTGCAAGAGATGAGTGGCACCAATATACTAAATCTGTTAATACTCCAAGAATCCAATATCCAAGTATTTGATTGATATGTACATAGACTCTTCTGATTCTGGAAGATATAAGAGGTTTGTGGGAAAGCTGATTTCTTTGATGGTGAATTCCAGATATTACCTTTATTCTGAGTCTGATTATCCTGTTTATGCGAAGTATAGATCAACTTTATAGGGTTGCTCTTTATCATGTCGTAAAATATCCCAAAGATGCTCCACATAAAAGCTTGTATAACCAGCCAGCAAACAATCTGGATTATGGGGCCTACTACGATGATGGTTGTGCATGGGACTCTTTTCGTTGATCTATCAGCAGTTATTATACCTTCATTGGAGGTAATGTCGTGATCTGGAGGAGTAAGAAACAAGTTCTAATTTTAAGGTCTAATGCTGAGTACAGAGCAATGGCTCAACATTTAGTAGAAATGAGTGGTGGATGCAAATGTTTTATGTTAGTTATTTCTGACGACCATGTAGCAATATACACATGCAGTAATTAGTTTTTCTATAAGCAGAGAAGTTAATGCCCATTTAGTCAAAGATAAGATCATTCAAATAAAAATAAATGTAGTTACTCCATATGTTCCTTCATAGACCAGATTGGAGATATTTTCACAAAACTTTATCGCGGAATGTTTTCTTACTCCATATGTTCCTTCATAGACCAGATTGGAGATATTTTCACAAAACTTTATCTCAGAATGTTTTCTTTACTCTTTGTCTCAAGTTGAATGTAGTTGACACTTCTGCTCATTCTTAAGTTTGTGTGCACGTACGATCAAAGATAAACACTTGATCTTCATAGATATAAGGAAATAAAATGCAACAAGAGCATCACAAATAAACTAGACAGGCAGTGGAAAGATAATCATCTTATGTTGGAAACAACTTATAGAAAAAATGTACAATTGGAGAAGCAATTACCAACCTCAGGTAGAGTCACACTTGCATATTTAGATCTAGCTGACCGACGAAGATCAGGAAGTCCATCTCTCTCCCTTAGATCCTTAACAACATACAGTAATTTGTCAAAAAAAAAGAAGGATCAAAGCTTTACTTGAAAGGAGGAATAGCTGACCCAAATACAATGTTAGAAACTTCCGAGAAAAAAATTAGAAATTTAGTTCAAGAAGAATATATACTAGAGATTTTGATTGATGTACCATAAAAAGGAAAGGTTAACACAAGAAAAACAGCAGAAAGTTGTTAGCACAAATTTAGAAAATGTAGCTCTGCTGAAATGTGTTGAAAATAGCATATAAAAACAAAACTAAGAAAGAAAAGGCTGTGAAATTTACAGTCTCTTGCCTCAGGCCGGACATCAATGAGCACGGCATTTTCTTCATTCTTCAGCATTTCTAGAGTTAATTCAGGAGCCAAATCTCCAGAGTAGCCACCATAAGTAAAAAACCAGTACGATATTCTGAAGAAACAAAGTGAAAGTATTTCAATTTTTTACCTGAATGAAAGAAAAATAGAAAAATCAACAAAAAGTAGTTACCCTATAGTGGCAGAACTTCCAAGGAAAAGCAAGAAGGGAACTAGAGGGTCACTGGGATCCAAGCCAATATTTTTCTCGAAACCTTCAATGATGACGTATATCTGCATTAAAAACATGTCAAAATATGTATTGTCCATAAATAAATAATAGCAGAGGTGGAGATATTAAATGAAATTATTGAGACCTGTTGAATAGCAGCTCCAAAAGGCCTCAGAATATCTGTAGCTTTCTCCTCGGATACATTTATTGCATTCTTAAAATCTGGTGGGAGCAAGGACTTCACAGATCCATAAGAATAGACAACAAAAGTTGCTGCATTGGACAAAGAGTCCTCCACAATGATTATTGCACGTCTCAGAATATCAGTAGCTAGTGTTCCAGTTTTGGAAAAAATTTCCTTTATCTGGATCGAAAATCCAGCAAATTCACTGCTAGCACTTTCTCTGGAGTTGTCAGCTGAAGAAAATACACCACTAACTGCATTATCGAAAGATTCTGTCATGCTCTTAACTGCATCTGTATATGATGATACAAATGAATCGTATGAGCTCTTCACAGCATCTTGTGCTCTATCTATTGACATGTCCAAAGATTCAGTGACTTGAGATAAGAAATTGTCAACACTTTCTTTTACATTTAAGGACTCAGTAGTTGACATTGGGATCTGATCATTTGTACTCATAACCCTGTCAGTGAACACTGAAGATTCTGAAGATGTGGATTCTATTAATTTATCCACACTTCGAGGAACAGAATCAGGATAGCTTTGAAACTCAGATCCAAAAGAACCAGCATTAGATGGAAGCTCTATCTCTGAATTCTCCACATACTTTAGATCCCCAGTTAAAGAATGCAATCCATTTCCCTCCCCCACCGAGCAACTCAAATTCTCAGGCAGATTATCAATAACTTCATTTGGAAATCCACGTACTATATCATCAAATTCGTTTGGATAAGGAGAAAATATTGAAGAATCAGCAGATCCTGAGTTGTCAGTTCTTTCCACAACTAGGGAATGCATAAATCTGGTACCATGCGTTCTGAAGGATATCTCTTGTGCATGAATTCCATCTCGTATGCAAAAAGGCCTGTCCTCAATGATACGTCCATCTTCTATAGCCTTATGAAAGTGATAAAAGGCTCTAGAGCCAGCATGGAAAGATACCTGTGGACAAAAAGTTTCAAGTAATTTCGAATCTGTAAAATTAACAAAAGTGCATGATTATGTAATGACATCAGGAAAGACCCGAGTTCAACACATAGACAGCCTTTAACTTTGATATAGCCAATAATATGTAGGAAACTATCTATAACTTTTCTGTGCTTTTAGATGTGTTGCACAGAATCATACAACTAATCAAACACACCAGCTAAATTATGTTGGCATTCATGTTGCACTTTCTCAAACAGATTCTAACTTAATTTTGTAATAAATGCATTGTATACATCAACCAACTTTTCAATGTGTACTTATGACAGAGCTACCAATTAGCAATCATTGCGAGAAACACATAAGAAAATCTTATTTTTAAATAATGTGAGAACATTGTAGTGAAAAAAAAGGAGAGAAACATAGAAATTGGAAAATAGTATAGCTTTTCGTCACGACTTCCCATTTCGCAAGTGCTTGATAGAAGAAACTTTACATGAAAACTGAGCCGCCTAACTTTCCAATTTTCAACTTATGTAGACCTTATACCACTTAGACTTATCTAATGACTTTCATCTACAAATGCCTAAAGGTATTTCACGTATCTGCTCTGCAATTTTCTCAAAACTGTTTAATTTTATTCATCACTTTTTAGGCGAAATGATGTAGAAACTCCGTTTTATCTTTATTTAATAAAAATCACATCATCCCCAATCAAAGTAAAATAGACCAATATCTACCATGCATGCTTGTTGCAATTTACATTGACAAGATCCCATAGCATCTTCCCAGTCCCAAAACACTAATACCTCGTTTGGTACACGGGAATGAGTGAGAATGGAATGCAATTCCAACTCTTTATTCATGCGTACCAAACACAATGTATTTTTAGACGTTAGAATTACTATTCCCACTTCTTATCAATTCCCACTTTATGTGGGAATTGTCATTCCTAACCATTTGACAAGGAATTGATATTCCCACTTAAGTGAGAATAAAAATAATTAAATAATTTCTGATTATACCCTCCTTAAAAGATACGAATAGATATAAATTCCCATATAAAAAATTATTTCTATAAAAATAATATCATTAGCTGCTCGTACAAATATACAAATAGATGTAAAATGTTAAAATACTATTCTTTATTCACCTTTGCCCTAATTCCGAAGCGTCTGCAGTACAAAAAAATCTCGTCTTCGTCTCAACGCGACTTAGTTAGGTGTCCATTATTTCTTTTTAAACTACGTATGTGTGGCTAGTCTTTACCTAATCTTTATAGCAATTTTTTTATCTTTTGGCGACTTGGTTGCGTAATCTATTGGCAATTAGGTTAGCAAATATTTTATCTTTGGCCAACATTCTTTCCATTCCCACTTGACTACATTCTCGCGTACTAAACGAGATTTCTATGGAATTCCATGATTTGAAGTTTCATCGAAGCAAATATTTTATCTTTGGATGTTTTCTATTCCTAATTAATTTTTTGAAAGTTAAAGGTGCATTTGAAATTCCATAGAAATTTTATATACAAACTAAAAGTTACCATGTTTTTCTAATCCTTCAAAATTTAGTGTTTTCTTCTAATCTCTCTCTTCATGCATGCACATGAAATTCAACCATAAATCATGTAGCATGCATATGGAATTCAGTCTATTGTATATGTTTGTGCACAGTGATGGTAGTAGCATTAGCTGCTCAGACAAGTAGTAGACATGTAGCATTAGAAGTTAGAAATGTGTAATTATAATTATTTATAATAAAAAATAGTTTCTATGAAAATTATTTTCAATTAGTAAGCCAAAAGTCTGAAACTATTGCTGAGGCGGTGTACCAAAATATAACTATCAAATAAAAAATTATTTCTATAAGAAAAATATCATTTCTATAAAACTTATTTTTCTAAAAAAATAAATTGTTTAGTCATTTTTAAAATATTTTTATGTTTTTAAAATTTTGTGTTTTTGTAAGGGCATTATTAGAAAACTAAATTTTATTCTCACTTGTGAACAAATGATACCAAACATGAGAATGAGAATAAGATTGCCATTCCCTTTTCATTCTCTAAACGCGCCCAAACATGAGAATGAGAACGCGCATTCCATTCCCACATCTATTCCATTCCATTCCTACATTCTTTCCATTCTCACTTGACTCCATTCTCACGTACCAAATGAGGCGTAAGAAGTCACCGATTCCCTACAATGTGTGAATGTGTTACTTGCATGTCAAAAAAAGATCGAGAAACCTGTTAAATGTTGTTTATAATTCTCAGGTTCTTTGGGAGCTCCAGTTACATCGAGTACTCAGATACTTCTTCTACCTCCACCTTCATCCTTTGAAATCCTCCAAGTTCAGGTAATACTTTATCAATGAGTTCTTTTGATATAGAAATTCAAATTCCAGAAAAAGATTATGTTCATAGATGTATCCTGGCTTCTAAGCTAAATTTTGAGTTCCAATATTTTCCGGTAGTTCTAACATTTTCAGTTGATTCTTGACTGTAAGCTAAAAGCATATCCAGCTCATATCTTGATTCTTGACTATATATGATGGAGGTGCAGTTTTGCAGCATCAACGCGCGACCTTATCTTCAAACAAATGAGACAAAAGAAGGGGAAAAAAAGAATGAGAAAAAGGAAAGCGAGAAAAGTAAAGAGGTGAGCCCTTACAGGAGAGACTCAGGAGACCCGAGCGAGTCCCTTGAGAAGTCCAATACTTGATATAATCATTCTGGTAGCACTATTGAGATTCTGAGTGCTTCCATATGCACCGTAATATATATGGCTAAGCTTGTTGAAAGCAAACAAACTCATTTTCACATTTTCGTAGTATGTTACTAGACTTTCACTGGGTGGCAATATCTTATCTGGCTAAGCATGCCCCCATGATGAATTATCAACATGGCGATTCATGCTGTCAAATGAATTCTACCTGGTTAATTGTCTAGCAATCATATTATACCGCAAAGTCGATAAGTCCTGCTCAGGTAGAAGGTAGCACAAGTTGGTAACCTATGGAAGATAGTATATAAAGAGAATTCTTTTTCATGAAACACATATCAATTAGATGATGGTGAAAGCTGTTAATACAAGGAGCAATCAGCAACATGCATCTGCAACAAAGTTGGGGTAGAAACCTTTTATAGAACATGTGCTTATTATTATGTAATAAAGAGGTCTAAATTATAGAAACCCAGCACAATAAAGCTAAAACTGAAACATCACTGATCATAAGTACCCATCATAAAATAATTCAAATCTCAACAATCTAAACATCATTAACGTGGCAAACAGATTTTCACCTGAAGATGAGAAGGAGAGCTGGGAGCAGCAGAGCAAACAGAGAGCAACATTGTGGAAATTTTGTGCACACTGCTCAAATTACCAGTGTTTATTACGCTTCAGTCCATTTTTAGGGGATTTCAAGAAATGGGTATTGCAGAATTGGGCTGAAATAATGCTGTAGGGCTTCAGAGAGAGGAATTTGAAGAAGAACAGGACAAGGGTTTTGTTGTGGTGGTGATGGGATTATCCAATAGAATCGCATGAAAAAGACATGGAAGGAGTCTAAGTGTAGGATATATGATGAGAGAGGATCGTGTGGCTGCAGGCATGGGAAGCTTACTCTCCAATTGGTCATTTAGCTTTTTAATTTTTACTTTTTTTGGGAAACTATATTTGAATGTTCCTCAGATTTTTATAAGGCAAAACTTCACTATGGGTCCCTAATGTATTAGCTAAATTTCATTTTCAATGGTTGTTTGGATGGAGGGTAGAGAGGGGGAAGCGAAGGGAAATTTTATTTTAACATTGTTTGTGAGTTTTATTTAGAAGGGTAGAGGAGAGGAATGAAGGGGAAATTTGACCCAAATTCTTACACCCCAAATTGGGGTGTAATGGAGAGGAAGAGAAGGAAGGGGAAAAACTCTCCTTCCTTCTTTTTCCTTCCCTTTCCTAAGTAAACTCCCAAAAACACCATTGAGTTCTTAATGTTTGAAAGTCATTAACAGAGGTCTCTAACGTTTTCTCCATCATCAACTTAGGTCCTTTTTGAGATTTTTGTTATTTATTGCTGACGTGGTAGCTGACTGGATTTTTCTCTCTACTTTTTGCCATGTAACCCGCTACAAGTTTTACTAATTACAAATAATATACTGAAAGTTTTGAACATTATAAATAGCCCCAAAAAATTTTCAAAAACTACATGTGATCTGCTAAAAAGTTTACAACCAAACCCTAAAGGTTTAAAAATTACAAATAGCACCTTAAAAGTTATTTGTAATTTTTAGAACTTTTAAGGGTCTATTTGTAAATTTCTATGGTTGTTTGTAAAAATTTAGGGGTCCATTTATAGCTTTCAAAACTTTAGTGGTTGTTGACATATTTTCCAGTAGGGTTTTTATAAAACTTTAGGGGGTTATTTATAAATTTTAAAAGTTTTAGAGGGCTATCTAGAAAACTTTTAGTGGGCTCTGCTTAGAAAATATGCAAACAGTGGCTAGAAGTTTGAAAAACTACAAATAGACCCTAAACTTTTTATAAACAAACCCTCAAAAATTTTACAAACAAACCCCTAAAAGTTTAAAAATTACATATAACATTAAAGGTGCTATTTATAATTTTCAAAACTTTTAGGAGGTGGTTGTAAATTTCTTAGGGGATCACTTGTTGCTTTTGAAAATTTTTAGGGGGTTGATTGTGATTTTTAAAACTTTTAGAGTGTTATTTATAATTTTTAAATCTTCTTGGGGATTACATGGTAAATAGGAGAGACAAAAAGATAGTCCAATCAGCTGCAACGTCAGCAATAGATAACAGAATATATCAAAAAGGACGTAATTTGATGACGGAAAAAATGTTAGGGATCTCTATTGATGAGTTTTAAATATTAAGGACTCAAATAAAATTTGTCTAATACATTTGAGACCTATAATAAAGTTTTACCTTTTTATGACAATACTAGCACACTGGCACGTGCGATGCATATGCAAAAATATTCAGATACGTGATTATTCTTATGTTTTCATTTAATAGTTTGATGATGATTTAATTTATTCAATTTTACTATGGAGCTCTACATAAAAATTGCATGTTAAACTAATATTTATCAATTAAAACTGCCCTTAACACAATGTTGTTGAGTAGTTTCCTAATTGACGATAATATAATTACAGTAAGTGGTTAAAATAAAAAAGGGGATATTGTAATTTAATATGTGTATTATCATTTCATGATTTAGAATGTTCAAGAATAAAAAAGGAAAAAAAAATAAAAGAAAAGAAAGACAATAAATATTTCTCTTAAAAAATTACATATGTACTATTTTCATGTTATGACCTAGAATCTTCTAGAGACAAGAATGAAAAGAAAGAAATTGGAAAAAAATCTCTCTTGCAAAATTACCAATTTACCCCTCAAATTACGATAGGAAGGAGGAAAATATCTACCACTCATGCAACTTTTGCACGTGCATTGCATGTGGTCAAATATCTTAATTATGTATTTTAGGTTTATTTATTTACTATGATATGGTTGCAAAAAAGTTTATGATTACCATAATATATTAATTTTTTTTGGATATTTCCATGCGTAGAACCTTGTTGGTTTTAACATTTTGTCTTTCAAAGGAATATTAAAATGTAAAGTCTTAAAATATTAATGATTTAAGAGCAATTTCGATAATTTGAAGGACTAATTTCAAAATATTAATGATATAGACCAATATTGTTAATGAAAAATTAATTCTTAAAATCATCAAAGAAAAGTGATAGGTTTCATCTAGTGTTAACGGATTTTATTTAGTTATACAAGAATCACTTCCACCTGTCATTTACAGCCAACGACAAAGTATTATAGTAATTGAAAAGTTTTTTCTAGAATTCTCCGAGTCAAAATATGAAAATTCAAGAAAAAAAACAAAAATTATGTGATCAATTCCAAAACCTAATATTGTAATCCTTCTACATCTTCCCAACTACACTTTGTCTAAAATTTCCAAAAATGATTATTCTTTTGTATTAGAAAATTATAAATTATAATTCGAGAATGATTTATTACATATTATGCATTCATATGGATTGTATTTTAAAAACAAAATTTAGATTTATCCATTATCAAACAACATCTAAAAATTTAAATTAAAAAGTTAGAAGAATCCAATACCCGCAACAGTACTCGTATCCAAGCTATATGCTTTATAACTTATAAAAAGATGAACAATGTAAAATGAACAACGTAATTCATTTTGTCAAATAATTAGTTCTAGGTCATGAAAGATAAGGAGAATCAAAAGGATCTCATACCATCCCAAATAAAAAGTAAACTTCTCCTAGAGAATCTTTAACAACAGATTTTTTTAATTTAATATGAAGGATAAATCTAATGACAAATATTTTCATTTAATTATAGACTTGAGGAAAAATCTACTTTTATAAAATCAATGTCATATGTGCCGAAAATTGTTCTTTGTTTAAGGGCTAATTTTATAAAACTTCCCCTCAGCTACTATGTGTGTGGCTCGGGGGGCAAGTTGGGGTGGGGTGAGAGGGAATGTTAAATTAAAATTTGAAAGTTAAGATAGATTATTTGTACCCGAAAATTAGAGGGCATTTCTCAAATTAAAATAGTTGAGGGTTTTTTTTATAACACTCTTTTCTCACTTAACCCCTCAAAATTAGCATTGTTGAATCTAATTAATTATATGACAAGTATCCCTCAACCTTAAAGAATTATCTTAATTTTCGTCAAATGAAAGAAAAAGAAGAGGTAAAGAGGGAGAAATCATCGTAAGTTAGTTGGGGTCCTTTTATCATCGAGTGAGGTTTTTTTTAACTACAATGAGTTTTATTTTCAAGAGTGTATTTCATCCAAATCACATATTGAAGTAATGACAGTAATGAAGTTTGCTAATAGAAGTGTAACATGTCAGGGGAGTTTTTATGCGACACACCAAAATTTGAGGGGGTTTTCTAAAATCGTTGTTATATCAAAGTCGAGAAGTATAATATATAACACCCTCATAGTTAGAAGGGTTTCTCAAATTAAATGAGTTGACTGTGTATTCTGAGACAACCATCATACTTTATTGGTTTTCAAAAATTAACTCTTCTTTTTAAATATAGATTATTTACATATTTTTCCTCAAATCTTTAATAATTCAACATCAGTCCCTAAAATTGTGAGCAATTTCAAGATTTTTAGGGACTAATAAAGAATGATTGAAGATTGAAAATCAAGGTACTAATATCTAAATAACCTTTAAATATTTGTTCTTATAGATTACTTATTGTCCTATAAGATTTCCTTAGTTATACAAATTTGATAAATGCAATATAGTATAATTAATTAATTAATAATTATAATCAATTTAGTTTAGTTAGGATAAGAATGTAATATTAAAAAAGAATAGGGGTAATACTCTCGACAGAAAGTTTTGCAACAACTCCCATTTTTAAAAGCAATATGACATTTGTGTCTCAAATCTTTAATAATTTAATATTAATCCCTAAAATTATAAGGAATTTCAAAATTTTCAGGAACTAATATAGAATTATTAAAAATTTAAAATTAAGGGACTAATATCTATAACCTTTAAATATTTGTTCTTATAGATCGATTACTTGTAGTCCCATAAGATGTCCTTAGTTATACAAATTTAACAAGTAGCATATAATTTTTAATTAATTAATAATGATAATTATTTTAGTTCAATTAGGATTAGAATGTAATATTTAAAAAATAATAGGGTTAAAAATCAAAATATTAAAGTTGAGATGGATTATCTTTACCCCAAATTAGGAGGTTATTTCTCAAATTAAAATAGTTTAAGGGTTTTTAGAACACATTTTTCTCACTTAACCCTCAAAACTATAACTGTTTAATCTAATCTATTATGTTTTTTTCCAAAATTAACCCTTCTTTTAATTATGACTTATTCATATATTTGTCCCTCAAATCTTTAATAGCTCAATATTAGTCCCATTATGAGAAATTTCAAAATTTTCAGTGACTAATATAGAGTTATTGAAGATTGAAAATCAAGGGATTAATATCTAGTAACCTTTAGATATTTGTTCTTATAGTTTACTTATATTTTTATGAGATTTTCTTAGTTATACAAATTTGATAAATGCAATATAATATAATATAATTAATTAATAATGATAACCAATTTAGTTTAGTTAAGATAAGAATGTAATATTAAAAAAGAATAAGTGTAATATTCTCTACAAAAAGTTTTTCGACAACTCCCATTTTTAAAATCAATATGATATTTGTCTCTCAAATCTTTAATAGTTCAATATTAGTCATTAAAATTATAAGGAATTTCAAAATTTTCAGGAACTAATATAGAATTATTAAAATTTAAATTCATGGGACGAATATCTAAATAACATTTAAATATTTGTTCTTATAGATTACTTGTAGTTCTATAAGATGTACTTAGTTATACAAATTTAACAATTAGCATATAATATAATTAATTAATTAAAAATGATAACTATTTTAGTTCAGTTAGGATTAGAATGTAATATTTAAAAATAATAGGGTAAAAAAAATCAAAAATTTAAAGTTGAGATGGATTATCTTTACCCCAAATTAGGAGGTTATTCTCAAATTAA